CTGAGGAGACCTATGTCGGATGGGAAAGGTCATTGAATTCCTTGGTCTTTACTTTCTCATGTATTTTGTTTTGTTACCGGGGCAAACCGTAGATCCATATGCATCAATTGAACAAAAATCGAATATCGATTCTCGAATTTTTCGAATCGATTCACGGATCGAGTCGGGACTAAAAAATTAAATAGCAAGGGCTCAATTAATCGATCTTCGATTTAATCGATGTAAAACGGCATCTTCAATAAGCATTAAATACAATATTAGTGCAATTTTTTTACCAATATATTTTGCTAGTCCGTCTTTTGCCAATATGAATATGAATGCCAAGCGAATTGGAAATTGAAGCGTGTCTGATGGTATCATTTGTATCCGCGATAATAGAACGGTTTCTCTCTTAAAATTTCCATTCAAAATTGTTGCTTCAATAACATTTCCAGTGATGCCTTTGATGATCGAACGTGTGCCGTTGCATAATCTAGTTTTTATATATTAAGATAAGCACGTTGCGTTCGAAACTATCCTATATTTTAAGTTCGAACCAACAATACACATCCATAAAATTTCATTGAAATCGGTCAAGCGGTTTCGGAAATTAGCGTAAACGAACACAGTGACACGGCGTATGAGTAATTTCATGAGTCATTTCATTTCATGTTTATTTCATTTATTATAAAACATAACATTAGATCTTCTGCTTTGGAACTAAAACGTAACTAAATTTATCTGAGAAGGTCTTTGAAGGACCTCGGCAGGACTTGGAATCGACCCGATACATTCAAGTTTATCGATAAATTTCAATGATTTGATACATATCGATAGTTCGATGAATTTCAAGAACACTAAAATCCGATAACTCAACAAAATTCTTTAGCTCGATCAATTTCGATAACTATGAAATTCGAGGGCTCGATAAATTTTGATAACTCAAAAATGTAAATTCTTTGGATACCTTTATAAATTTTTACTTTTGACAGCTCCACATTTTTCGAAAACTATCTAAACATTTTTATAACTCGTTACACTCTGTTAACACGATAAAGTTCAATAAGCAATGATAAATCGATAAGCTTATATAACCTTGAAATTTCGATAAATCGATATATTTGGAAAATTCCACAAACTTCGATTCGTTGAACCAACCAATTTCAGTAGATCAATAATTATACATAACTCTGTAAGTTGAAAGAACTCCATGCATTACGACACTTCGATACATTTCGTTAAGTCTATAAATAATGATAATTCAATAAATATCGATAACTTGATACATTTCTTTAACTTGACAAATTTCGTTAATCCCACACGTTTTTATAGCTCGATAACTATCCGTAAATTTGGACAACTAAGTTTCTGTGTCTATAAATTTCGACAACTCAGTAAACATTGATCAGTTTGAATAATTCGATACGTTGCGATAACTTAATAAGCATGGATAAATTTCGATAATTATAAACTTCGATGATTCGATAAATTTCAGTAACCTTTATGGCTGATTTTATTTCGATTCCTATCGGAAAATTTCAACTCTGTTACCCTAATTCGTATGTATTTCTCATTGTCTCCATTTTCGCCTTTATCTCAA